CACTCTTGATGTATCCCGTTACTGTTGCAGCAGCCAATCTCCCCACTGGGATCATTAAAGTTTCATCTAATCCATTATATCTGCAAACTCTATTTGTCTCTCACTCCATCTGCCTCCATCAGTTCACCTCCTCCCGCCATATGAAAATGTCTCCCTCCTCTCCTGTCATTTAACCTCCTCCCTCCCTTCCTCTTTATAGGCTTTCTTCTCCTCCGTCCTTCTCTCACACCTCCTTTCTTACTATCCATCTTATCTTCCTCCCAGTCTCCGGGAGATGTGTGTTAGCACAATTTTGTTAATTAAGAAAGACATCCGCCCTCGCACGCAGGACATTAACGAAATAAAGTGGGCTATCAGCTATCATTCTCACACATCCAGGCCTGAGAACAACATCTCCTCTCACCCACACCTCCAAAAACACCCCCTTCCACACACAGACACAATGTGTTGACAAGCTTGGCTGGACCGGGTATAACAGCTTGTCATGTGCAGGCCAGTACCCTCAGCTTCAACATGACTTCATTCACACCCGCTGTGACCTGCTAAGAACCAGAGTGCTGCCCTACTAAACAACAGGAACCCTCTCTCAGTAGAGCTTCCACTGCCACAGATACACAACAAATGGAGCTTCAGAATTTGCTCCGTTTACTCAAAATTGGCAGGCATCACAGCACGGCTGCAACTAATGATTATTTTCATAGCCGATTAACATGCCGATTAGTGTGTCAATTAATCGGTTTATCGTCTTGTCTATGAAATGTCGTTAAAAAACAGCTCATGGAGATTTAGTCAAATTTTATTCGACCAACAGTCCAAAACCTAAACAATATTCAGTTTATGACCACATATGACAAACAAAAGCATTAAATCCTCACATTTGAGAAGCTAAAACCAGAAAATGTTCAGCATTTTTTCTTGAAAAATGACTCAAATAATTAATCGATTATCAAAATTGTTGCCGATTAATATATTTTTGATCAACTGATCGACTAGTTATTGCAGCCCTAAGTCACATAGAGCTGTCAATGTGTTCTGCGTCCTGTCTTTAAAAGCTAAGCCATCTGTATATCAGAAGGATTAACTGTAAGTCAAGTTAGGATTTATTACTGATATAAATTCACTAATTATTGACAAAGACACTGGGCTAAAGACTAAAACACAGGAAACAGACAACATCAGCTGTTTGTGAACATCAGAACAAAGGTGACGCCACTGAATCTTCAACATTCAATATATTGGCAAGTCTTGATACATATCTGAGATGATATTCCCACAACACCATTTTAACGCCGCACAGATGCTATCCTACAGTAAACTACTGGTATACTGCAGGCTACTGTCTATAAATATCACAAACAGGAGTGGGGATAGCAAGCACCCTTGTCAAGAGTCTGATCGCCACCTGATGCCAAGAATACAAACAATCCTTTTACTTCCAAGCATCAAATGATTCACAAATAACCCTGGTAACCCGTACTGCAACAGCACCTCAACAGAAAACCTGAGGGAACACCGTAATAAGCCTTTTCTAAATCCACACAACACATGAAAGAAAGAAAAGCAAACTCCAGTAACCCCTTGATTTGGAAGAGGGTAAAAACCTGCTCACTGCTCTGAATCTGACTTTCCACAATTGTTCTACTGTCTCCTTTTCATTTAACAGCCGACAGACTTCAAAGTACAGTCGCAAATCTAGCCAGCCGTTTAAAGTCTGTCCTCTTTCCTCCACTTCTATCCCCTTATCCTTGTCTTTCAGTCTGGCCGATCAGTGGAGACGACCGCCTGTCACTCTCTTGTCCTTCAGTCAGACTTGGCTGCTCTGCTCTGCTCTGCTGGCCTCCAACTCACCTCGACCAGACAGACCAGAGCACAGCATGGCAGCATCCTGGCACTAAGCGCACATGCAAAAAGCAGACAGAGCTTTAATTCAGACAAACACTTTCTACTTTATGTGTGCATCTCGGAGGGCAGGAAGCCAGCGTGGTAATAGGATGTTCCTTGCTTGCTTTGTAATGTCTAAAAGACCTGGGTTAGAGCCAAAACACAGAGCAAAAGCAAAGGCGCCAAGCTGTTGAATGTACTGAGTGCCAGACACTGGAAATGCGCTGAGTACAGTTTATTAAATCGATTAACCCATTGGTTTGTAACCTGGGAGCTGAAAAGATCATTAACAGGATAGGAAATATTTCTATTACACAAAATTTTGGTACATCTTTTTCAGACTTGCCTCTAATCTTTGCTATATTCTTGTGATTTTATTTGATATTTTTCAAATAAAACAAACAAAATCACTTTTATGTCATAAGAAGGGCTGCAAGTAGTCATGGTTTAGTTTTAAGGGTTTCACAATCCATAAAATGTTGGGAATTTAAAAGACAAAAACTTTGGTTCTGGGTGATTGTGAATGTGATATTTTCACATTCAGACCAAACAAATTATAGATGAATCATGAAAATTATTGTTTGATTAATCAATAATGAAGATAATCATTAGTTGCAGCCCTAGGGGAATTAGAGTAGAATAGTATACAGTTTATTTAGGAGGCGCCAGGAACCAATATTCTGAGTTATTATCCAGGTGTTGGTTTATAATATGAATTTAGACAGACAACAATGTATACCGACTGGCATTACATATGGACAATGAAATGGCCAATCAACAATTTTACATCTTATCTTCTGGGCGATAATCTGTAATCTGACATCAGACAGCCAATCATGTGTAATCTGACATCAGACAGTCAGCACATTAATCTCATCAGTGGACAGAGGGGATTATGACGGTCCGTCAGACAACATCTACACTCAGCAGATCATAGCCAGCTTTGCTTTACCACAGCACTGACGAAAAGATGCTGCAGAGATGAGCTAAAACCATTTAATGAGCAAGTAACACTCTGAATTTACTTCATCATTTTTCATTATGGATGTCACTCTCTTATTTTATTGGATTTCTAATGGTGGATTACTAGATTAGTTTTGGACCTTCTTTTTTTTTTTTTTTGAAATCCTGCTGTTGAACTTCAATCTGGTCTCTGTATTTTTTGTTTCTGCTAATTTCATGTAAACTTGAATTTCTCTCCCAAGGTTTCTTTTGTTAGGTCCTAAAACTTTGAAGGATCTGTATGTAATATTGAGTTATACAAAAAAATGATTCACATTACAATAAAAACATAATGATTATATTTGTGCCAATAAGTGAAGGGCACATAAAGCCCAAGCTTTCAAAACAATTGTGTAAATCTCTGATATATTTCTAGTTATTTCTGCACACCCCTAATCACCAAAAATTCTGGAAGTCAATTAACCCTTTGAGTTTTAAGCAACAATTTCTCAAGTGGGAGGACTTGCTGGTATCATTGTAAACTGTACATCTCTGTAGGCATTTTTTTCTTACTGTTTTAAACGATTAATTGATTATTCAAAAACAAAAATTAAATTGCACAGTCATACTGAGGACTGAGAACAGGTTTAAAAACACAGACTCAAATAGCAGAAACATCTATACAGGAACAGACTGGGTCCACATTCATAACATAGGCTCAAAAATACACATTCAGTAAATCTAAATTTCTCTGCCAGTCTCTCCATCTGTCTTAACTGGGAACACAAGCTAACCCTGCTAACTGTACTCTATCCTCATATTTTATGCTCAGAAACCAAGAAAAACTGAATGGGAAACATGAATGGGAGACATGAATCCAAAAAAAAAAAAAGAAACACATAAATCCTGACACATCACATCTGTATTCATGTGTATACAATTTCCAAATCCTTTTGAATCACACATAAGCAAATAGTTATCTCTTTTTTCTTTTTTTGAGGGCTGAGCAAGCAAAAAAGAAAAGAAAAGCTTATTTTAAACTGGAGATAACCACTGAGGTCAACTGGAGGAGTATCATCTCAGGGAGGTGAAGTACTCCCTCCTCACACACAGAGACAGAGAGAGAGAGAGAGAGACAGAGACAGAGACAGAGAGAGAGAGAGAGAGAGAGAGAGAGAGAGATGCTGCTGGTTGCCTCTCTAGTTACAACAGCTTGTGATGGCCAACACCCCAAAAAAGCGGAGGCTGGAGCTCACCATCCTGTCAGCTATAATTCAATATTTAAACATGTGTTCACCAAATTAACCCAATGCTGCAACAAACATTTCATCCACATTATAATAACCTATTTGAGGTAGAGGGCTGATGCAAAGGGAAATTTTCATTCACTCTGATACTGTGCTTGACAAAGAGCAGCAGCTGAGGCTCATGTGTGAGTGACTGAAGTATTATAATCTATTATGTCTGACTTTTATTTAGCTACTCGTTGAGTCTAAATAGCTAGAAAGGCTAGGTGTATTATATATCGGCCGATTCAGTTCAAATGAGCATGTACCCCCTCTGATCACATGGAGGTTAAGACAAAAGATTGGACAACCAGCAACAAAGAGACACGCTATGCCAATCAGTTAATGAAACAAACAGCTGTGAAGTTAAGGTTGATTTTAAGGACACCGAGCAGGACAGTGGTCTCTACCCGGGATCCCACCGTTTCTCCACCCTGTTACCGGGAATCCCTGCCAGCTTCTCTTTGAAACAGGGTGTGACACACAAAAAAAGCCGTCAGGATGCAACTTCGTAACTTGCCAGTCAAACAAAAACATCAATTCAGGTGCAGAGATATGATTGAAGTTGGCTGTAACCGAGTGGAGAAGGCGGTATGACTCCCCCCGCTGCCCCTGCTGTCGTGCGCCCCGGCCGTATGTCTGCAGACTTGCCCATCTATTGTTCCGCCGCTGTCACAGCCGTTAAGGTGCACCACGGATTAGCTTTAGCCTTAGCCTCGCCGGCTAACAGCGCAGCCAGCCGGCTAGCGTTAACGTTAGCCGCTAAAAGGTAACACGGCACCTTCCTTCCACTCGATTTCCCAAAAGTCGGTGTGTTGCCCGTGTCAAAGAAAACGAAGCAAACAAACCAAACAATTGGCCAAAAACATAGTTTAAAGCGTTTAAACATACCCAGAGCTCCGTTCCCCAACTCATGTCGGATTCCCCCTTCTGAGTTCTCCCGTACTGGACGCAGTTTTCCCCACACAGTCTCCGAAACTGCCGCTGGGACTCCGGTCCTCCTGACTGACTGACTGTCTGCCGACAAACACTCCTCCTCCTTCTCCCGAATGAACAGGGCCGCCCAAACCGGGGGCCCTGGACCACAGAGGTCCTAAAAATACTGCTATTGTTAGTGGTCATCCAAGCGGTTTCATACCTTAGACAGATCAGTAATAATGAAATTGATCAAAAACAGTAAAAAAGAAAACCCTGCATTACAAAAAACAATTATGTGAGAGTATAGGCTACAACAAAACATCTGGCATACCACCTGGAAACAGTAGTAAATCAAAAAAAAAAAAAAAAAAGACAATCATACACTGTTATTGTAGTTATCAATTAAAGTATTCATTATTATTTTATTTTTTGATTAATTTTTTCTATCCTATGTATTAGAGAGCTAAACACAAATAATCTCAAGAAATGCAATAAACATCTATTATTTTAATTTTACTCATTTTTGGACTCAATTATAAAATTACAATATACCTGCAAATTGAATAAAAAAAACAAACACTGAAGGCCTAGATATGAAGATGCAAGCATAATATGGTAAAGTAATTTTTCATTGGCCATCCATTCCTTTAAATTGAGAATAGAGAATTCCAATAATTAATGTTGTTAGGCCTTAATATGAGTTTATCAATATCCCATCTGTAATTTGGTGCCCTATCCCACATTTTCATTTATTCATTCAACTTTTATTTAAATCAAATCTCAAAGAATTAATCAAGGTGTGAACTCATTTTCAATGATGTTGAGAGTACACTTAAAACAGAATAAATACACACAAAAACAATTAACAAGGAAACAGTTAAAAACAGTTACATTCAAGAGCGGAGAAGTTTGTGATCACGGTTTTGAATTGACTGATAGGTACAACTGTGTTTAATTTAACGTGTTGTAAAATGTTCCAGGTGTGTGCAGCATAAAAACTAAATGCAGTTTTCGCAAAATGAGTAATTGCATGTGGGACTTTGAGTATTAGCCTATCACGTGAATGGGTCAAATAATATATGGGACCAGTTTATTAAGGAAGTGATGTATGATGGCACATTGTCAGTTAGGGCTTTATAGGCTACATAAATAGAAACCAATGCCTGTCATGTCTCACTGTTTGCAATGCCCACCCAACCTTTTCATATAAGATGCAATGATGGGTAGAATAATTGACACCAATAATGAATCTTGGAGCAGAGTGGTAAACTGAATCAAGGGGTTTGAGAGTGGGGGCAGAGGCGTGTCTATAGATGACATCACCATAATCCAGGACATACAGGAAGACAGCCTCAATTAACTGCTTCCTGCTGAAATTAGGGAAATTGGCTTTCTTTCTGTACAGATGTCTTTTTTTTTTGTTGTAGCTTGCTGACAAGTGTGTCAGGGTGAAATTTAAATGTAAGTTTTTGATTCAACCAGATTCCAAAGTATTTATACTCCAAGACCCTTTGGTGGTGGTGATAATATGCAAACCATTGTTCACAATATCTTGGGCTCCAGAAAAAATCTTATTTTTAATCTTATTTCCATTCAGCACTTATTTCAAATAAAAAACTTAAGTAGATAACCTCATATCCTGGTTAGAATTATGCCTGGTGGGAAACACATAAACAAGGATAGTGCATATAAAGACCATCCTGTCTATTGGTGGGTTGCTGGCCACTTTAAGCCTAATGTTCTTGTCAAACGAAATGTCTGGGCTTTGAAAAGTATTGCATCAGACAGAATATGTCAATATGTAATTGGGTATCAATAACAGGTTATTCAAAATTCATAAAGTTTACTATAATTTATAATAATGCACTTATTTATCAACAAAATCCTTAAATTGAAACAAATGTCACAATTAAGTGAAAAAGAAAATTAAAATTTAATTTTTAACTGTCCCATAAAATACTCAGTACCTGTTTATTCTCAGTTTACGTATGTAAAGTTATGGTTAAGTTATGCAAAATGACAATGTCAGAATCGACTCAGTTTAATCAGCATGTACACAATTTTTCGATATATGTCCTTCTAATGTGAGAATATTCCTTTAAAAGTTGAACAGAGGCCCCAGTTCATGAATTGGTGAATGAGCAGCTCTATCCAGCGGTCAAGATGCGTCATTACAACTGGAACCACTAAATGCAAATCAGTAGACAAGTGCAGGATTATACTTGATATTAGAGCTGAAACAATTAGTCGCCCAGTCTCTCAGAACTGTAGTGGATTATAAAGTGTGGAAATACTCATGTACTGTACAGGTAGCTCAAATTTGAGATGTTTTTGCTGTTATTTTTTATTTGACCACCAATCTGCACTTCACCCTCAACTCCAGTAGAGTGCAGTAGTACGTAATACAGCTCGCAAACTGCCACTAAACATAGTACGGAAGAAGAAGAATTTGTTTTGGGGTTACTGGACGACAATGGAGTAGCCTAGTTCTCTTTTGGTTATTTCTAACTGATAAAGCTGTGTAATTAGCTGTATTTCGGCAGATATAAACAGACATGTACCGCTGCATGACAAGGTAAGAGGCGTTACGTCTTTCCCATTCATAAATCCATACATTTATCTGAACTAAATCTCTTGACCTTTGGCAAACATTTCGTATTGTGAACCGTAAGCTAACGATTTATCGAACTTCAAAGATTGCCCACATGTTAATACAAAATATACGTCACTGTATGAATGCAATAAATATGTTTAGATAGTTAAATATGAGCAAAATAAGTCTCGCTGTACAGACACTCCATATACAGTAGTAGCTAACATATCCTACATGTTTTAAGTTAAGTTTTCAGTAGAAAGTGATGCAGCCATTATATACAGTTGCAGTTTAATTAAGTGTGTAGGTGAATGTGACCTCAAAGGGACAAAGAGATTCATGTCTCTGGGTGAATTTCAGTGTACTGACAGGTATCGCTGAGATGCCAATGCTGTTGATGCCATTCAGCTGCTGCAGTGTCCAAAAATGACCCCCACCACCAGGGATCTCTAAAGGGAGTTATAACTGATCAGCAGTGTGGAGAATATGATGTTTAATTACTTACTTAATTCAGTAAAGGTTGTTATTTCCTTCCTTTGAAGTAAGCACAGTGGTGGAAAGTGGTTCAGAAGTATTCAGATCCTTCGCTTAAGTAAAAGTATGGAAGTATTATGAGCAAAATATATTTAAAGTAAAGGTACTCAGTTGTCTGGTGAGTGTTATACTGTATTGAGCAATACTATTACTGATATATTCATGTGTAAGAAACACTTTAGTGCTGTAGTTGCAGTGGTGTAGATAATTTTAAGTGCTTTATAACAGTGTATCAATCCGCAAAATGTACCTAAGTAATAAATAGAAGTACTCAGTGCCCATGTCTATGAAGGTTATACTATTAATCTATTAGATTATTATTACTGTACTCTCTCTCTCTCTCTCTCTCTCTGTCTCTAAAAGGAGTGTGTGTAGTGGAGGAAGGGTATGTCCCGCCCTGGTGCCTCCCTACACCCAGTCACCATCATGGATGTTGAGAAACACAGCAGAAGAGAGACATCACAGGTGACTCCTGGACCATAAACCAAATGATAATCTACTTACAGTAGATGATATGCTGTGACTTTCTGTAGGGGATTGAAACAATTATGTGATACACAAGTAACATTTACAGCGGCAGGAAAAAGCAAGTGAACCCTTTGGCATTACCCACATCTTAAAATATGGTCAGAGCTTCATCCAAGTTACAATTATGAACAAACATCTATTTATTTTAACTAATAATACAGAAATCACAATATTTTTCTTGTCCAAATTGAAAACATCATTCAAACATTCACACTGTAGCCTGGAAAAAGTATTTGAACCCCACGGCCAATAACATCTGGAGGCCAATCACTGAAAGGATTGGAGGTGTGTGTTTGAGTTACTTTGACTTATGATAATTGTAGAAGCTTGTAGAATCAAGAATTGTTGCATAAAGAATTGCATAAAGCTGAAAGCTATTTCAAAGAGTTGAGGTATTCACAGTCACACAAACTGTCTCAAACTCACAAACTCTGAGTTTTGTTTTCCTTATCATGTTGTGAACACACTTTTCATGTGTGAATCTTGTGTGACAGGTTGACTGAGCAGCGTTGGCAGTGCTCAGTCCGCTGTATGAGCTCTGCAGCTGAGAAGAGGAGATCTCTGCGCAGTGCCTTCCCAGTCCTGGAGCAGCCCCTCCAGCCCATCCACCAACATGTGTATGAAGCTAACCTCCGAAATAGCTACGCCTGCCATAAGAAGTAGGTTCTGTCAGCTGCCCCCCACCCCCCCCTTCATCCCCCACTGTATTATTTATTATGTGAATTCATGCCTTTCATTATGTCGGTCTTTCTCTGTAAGGTTCATAGAGTTCAGTGAGAAGGTGAGGAAAGGTGGAGGGGAGAGCGGCATCGCGAGACACACAAAGAGAAACAGGAAGTTGCTGGTCAGGGATCGTCTGCGTCTCCTGCTGGATGATGAGGACTTCCTGGAGCTGTCACCATTCGCAGGTCTGGGTCTACCGTACGGGGACATCCCTTCAGCTGGCTGCCTGACTGGTGAGAACCCACTAACTGCAGTCCATTACAGCCTGTATAATCTGACTCCAGTCAACTGCCTCCAATTTGCTCACTTTACTCTATGTACTTCTTGTATTTCAGACAGTAATTTATTTCCCACCTTATGACGATCTAAGTTAAACACACATAGCTTACAACCCTTTGCACTATATGTGTTTGTATGTGTGTCCAATACCAGGCATCGGCAGGATCAATGGTCTATGGTGCGTGTTCATTGCCAACGATGCCACAGTGAAAGGTGGCACGGCGTATCCAATCACAGTGAAGAAGCAACTACGAGCGCAAGATGTGGCGATTCAAAACCGCCTGCCTTGTGTTTACCTGGTCGACTCTGGAGGAGCTTTCCTACCACTGCAGGTGAAACCCACACACCCTCATGTTTTCAGGAAATGAATGTTAGTTGAATCATTTTCACTGCTGTTTTAATTCGTGATTCCCTGCTTGTGTATAAACATCCAGTCAGAGATCTTCCCGGATAAGAACCAGGGAGGGAGGACGTTCTATAACGAAGCCATCATGTCTGCCATGAAGATCCCACAGGTAAAGAATTAGAAGAAGCCCAGGCATGCTTCAACTACTATTCCTTGGCCATTAGATTACAGTGAGTACAAATAATAATATCAACTAACAATATATACACAACTGATTCAGCATACAGTATATACAATATATTCAAAGGAAGTGTAATGTGTGCAATGTTTCTAGTTCATTTGTTCTTGGGATTTTCAGGTTTAAGGTTCCTTCTGTTGTGCAGTTTTAGCAGCATCAGATGTCCTAATTATCTGAGTTTTAAATACAAATGTAAAAGTAAATTAATGTATGATTGACGCAAAGTCTGTGAAGAACTTCGAATTAAAAATTTTAAATGTAAAAGTGTCAGTCTTAAAATGGGACGTCCAGACAGAAAAGAGACATTAGAATTTGATAAAATGGCATCTCTTGTTATTTTAAAATCACTCTCTTTCAAATTTCAATGACTACATAAAAACAATTCATGATTCCAAAGGTGTCAGTGGTGTGCGGGTCATGCACGGCGGGTGGAGCTTACATCCCCACCATGGCAGAAGAGGCAGTGATGGTGCACCGGATAGGGACGATATTCCTGGGAGGACCGCCACTTGTCAAGGCCGCCACAGGAGAAGAGGTGACACCAGAGGACCTAGGAGGAGCCAGGCTTCATGCTGAGTAGGTCCATAAATCAAACTTACCCCCATGAGAGGCAGATAAGTCTTGCTAAAGGATGTCAAAATGAGATCATTGTCTTTGGAGGTCAAAATAAGTTGAATATGAATAAAGTTACATCATCAAGTTGATTTATCTACCGGTTTCAGAGTGAGTGGCTGCGTGGATCATTTTGCCTGGGAAGAAGAGGAGGCGTACAGTTACACCAGAAACATCATTTCCACCCTCAATTTCCAACTGCCCGAGGAAGAGGAGGATGAGGAGAGGACGAGGAAAAGGAAAGCAGAGGAGGAGCCACTGTACAGTTCAGAGGAGCTTCTCGGTCTCGCTCCACAGAGTTATAACTACAGTCTGGATGTTAAAATGGTACAAAAATGCACAAACACAAAATACACTAAGCTGTTTGCTCTGTAAACTGAGTCGTTAGCATGAGTAGTAAATGCAGCCTCATGGCCATCACATCACTGTCTCATGATTCAGTTTTAATAACACGGTTGCTTCTGTCTGTCTGTCTGTCCAGGTCATCAGTCGGCTGACGGACGGGAGCCGCTTCCAGGAGTTTAAAGCTCGTTATGGAACCACACTGGTCACTGGTTTTGCAAAGATACACAGGTAAAAGTTACACACACACACACACACACATACATAAACACACATACACACACACACATACATATGTGCTTTAGGAAACATTTTCAGCAAACAAAAAACAAACAATCCAAATGGATTGGTGAACATCTGTACTGATATTGCATTAGTGATTTATTTATCAGTCAGTGAGATATACACACACACTGTTGTTTATCCCCCCTCCCTACATACAGTGACCCCTCACCCTCTTGAGATTAGGAGCTACCTAATCAGATCAGCAGACGCCAACAGAGGACCAAAACAAATATCATTCCGTCCCTCTGCCAATAACTAACTGCCTTGTTAGACTTGTAATTTGTAGGAACAAACTCATGTGCTTGACTGAAGTGATGTGTTTTTTTATGTGTTTTTACTGCTTTATTGATTGTGTCTTGTGTTAGTATTAATACTTCTTTCCAGCCTTCCTGGACGCAAATATTAGAAACAGAGTTGAATATCACATTTAAAAAGAGTGAATTGAATTGTTGTGAAGTGACTGAGAAAACACTTTTTGCTGTGGGTGTGTTCATGCAGCCATCTCGCAGTTCTGAATAATGCACGATAGTCGGATTACAGTCACAATACACATGCATGTACACACAGTTGAGGCTCAAGCAGAAGCTTCAGGCAGCAGTCGGGGCCTCTGATTGTTCACACCATTGATGAGTCACTTTTAAACCATTACAATTGTACTACTACTACTTCCATCTTCTGACACTAACAGCGCAAGCCACAGCATCATGACTCTAGCTGTTATTATATGCCACATGATCTAAGTACAGTATGTAAGTAGTCTGAGTATATAGGTGTATGCATGGTCCTGATCTGGTATATATTGTGTTTTTTCATCTCTTCATGTGCTGCATTAGCACCCTGGTGGGAATAGTGGCCAACAACGGCGAGCTGTCATACCAGGCGGCGCTGAAAGGAAGTCATTTTGTCCAGTTGTGTGACCAGAGAGACATCCCACTCCTCTTCCTCCAGAACACGGCACCCACAGCGGCACTAACACTCTCCATAACACAGGTATTCACTGACAGCGAAACACGTTCAAGGCTGTTTAGGTCTGATAATGTAGTGAAATCTAGTAAAATAATGGTATGAAAAGTGCTTCATAATGTAGCGTACGCAGAAGGCATGCGAGAAAGGCAGCAGTACACTGATAGAAAACAGTTTATTAAGTACAAATACAACATTTCATTATGTTGATTTTACAATAATCATCTATTCTGTGTGTGCATGTTTTTCTCCTAAGAATATGGATCTGATGTAAAAACATAATATTGGTCAAACTGACTTTTAAAGTAACTGCTAAAGTTTCTGTGTCGTCTACTCTGTGTGTGTCTCTCTCCTCTAGGCAGAGATGAACAGTAACCGTTTGAAGGCTCAGGGTTCAATGCTCTCAGCAGTTGCGTGCGCCTCCGTCCCCAAAATCACTGTGGTGATTGGTGGTTGCCACGGTGCCGACAGCTACACCATGGTGAGAGTCTCAGTAACCAATAATTTAACAGAAGAGAAGCGAGAGAGACCAGGAACAGCTGTACATACTGTTGATTGTTATAGTGAGAATAATAATAGTTGGGCGACCCGATAACCAATAGTGGTCAGAGTGCATGCCACGTGAGCGCAGGTGCTCTGAGCAGCGAGCCCCCGGTTCGACGGCTGGCCGGACCCTTTGCTGCATGTCACTCCCCATCTCTTTGTCCCTCAATTTCCTGTCCCTTCACTGTACTGTCACATACATTTAAATTTAACAATTTGAATCTTGTTTCCTTCTCTAGTGTGGACGGGCCTTTGACCCCAATTTCCTGTTCCTGTGGCCCAATGCCAGAGTGTCGATGGCGGCCCCAGGTCACGCTGGCTCTCTGCTTCCCCATGACAATGAGCAGGAGGAAGAGCAGAAGAAGAGGGAGCAGGAGGACAAGTTTAATAGGAGATTAAAAGAAGAGAGCTCAGCTTTCTTCTCCTCTGGCAGACTGTGGGACGATGGAGTCATTTTGCCTCAGGACACCAGGAAGGTAAAATAAACACAGCAGTCACATATTTGATTTCAACTGAACCTTTTCTTTTCCTTTTATGTTGTATTTATATTAATCCGTTTCTGTCTGCAGGTTCTCAGTGACTGCCTGGACATCATCAAACAGCAGCAGTATCAGCTCTCCACAGAAAAACTGCAATCAGCACTTCTACGTATGTAGAGATACCAATGGACACTACAAACAATGTGTCAATCACTAAGATTTAACTAATGTTTTTCATTCAGTCTGGCTGCTGTTGCCCATCGGCCACTAAGAGATGTCACAGCAAGCTCTGGCCTGTATTCTGTATGAATGGAAATTATAGGTGACGATGAGCATTATTGTAAAAGTGATAAAAGAGAAATTATAGTTGACCTTGAAGAGAATCTTCACACCTTAAAATTACAGAAATCTGGATGGAAATGGTTGTACATGCTGAATACCAATGTGTGTGTTTGCACACTACATAGAAATATCTACAGTTGATACAGAGATTACCTCATTGCCAGTCCTTTAATGTCATATTTGGGCAGGTGACTACTGGATCAAACATCCTCCAACAAATATTGATTTGTTTTCTTTAAGTGTCTACTCTATTGGACTGGGAACAGTTTATACCAGATGATCAACACTGTGGCTGCTTTTACACATTTGCACACAAGACTTGTATTTCCACACAAGTGCCTATGTATACCCCATATGCACTAACTTTTCTACAAAAGTCACCACTCCTAGTTTTCTGGGAACATCAGGAACAATCAGAACAATTTGACTGAAAGAGTTTCTTTGCAGTTTACTGACAGTTTTTTCTATAACCATAGTAGATCTCACAGTTTTGTAGGCTACTGAGTTTTTTGAGTCTTGGTTAATTCAGCAAAAGTGCCTCATCAGGTTTTGGCCTTCAGTCTCACCTTCACATCATGTCTCAGGTACATGAAGGTGCACCACACCTCAACAAGCAGAAATCCACTCAACACTACAATACATGTGAAGGGTTCTCAGTATCAGTATTACTTATTGTTTGATTTATTTTGATAAATTGCAACAAGTACTGTAGATGAACGTTGAAAGTTGTCATCTGTGTATTACATACGACCTGTTTCAGCCTTAACCTGGTTCAGTTCAGTTTTTTTAACTTATGACGTGACAAAAAAATTCAAATCTGCTGTCCGAAAGCTTGTAGAAATCTTTGTCAAAAATATATCATATGTAAGAACTCATGCTCTGTAATTACAAATGTAAAGTAATCATTGTAATGTAGTTTTTTTTGTATAAAAGAAGATTTAAAAAATATAAATACATTTTTAAATTGCAAAACAAGTGTTTGTTTTTAATTGTGGCTCTTGCTTTAGAAGGATGTTTCTGCAGATGTCATTTTAATTATGAAATACAATGTTTTGTGGTTGTTTTTGTAAACTCTTTGACTTGCCCTGCCTTGGTTCATTTATGGGTACACATGCACTGTTTTTCTCCACCAGCTGCAAGACACAGTGGTCAGCTGTCTTTATTTATTGTCATCATTACATTATAATCAATAGACAGACAGACTGCTAGCTCAGAAACAAGTTTGAGCTCAAGGAAAAATAGAAATAACATTATTAACACATGGTTGTATGCTGTTCTTATGTGTGAATGTACCAAGTACTGTATGTCCCCAAAATGTAATCATTTGTAAATCATTTTCATACCACTAATGTTTGAATTTGTCTTGGTAAATCATTTCTTGAGGAGTTTAAAGGTCCCATATTTTATACTTTTCCACTGATTTATTTGAAGCTTTGATCCATAAGAACTGAACACTTTGGTACTTTCACAGTATTAATATAGAACCTAGACCTGCTTTACAATCAAAAAAGAGATGGACATCTCCCTTTATACAATATGGGACCTTTATAATCACCAGAGTCATGGTTGGTTTAGATGTAGATCAGAGCCATTTAAGTCATTTTACTCAAGAAGCAGCTTAAGCAGAAAAAAAACTACTTTTTGGAGTCAATTTCTAATTGAAAGGACTCAGGTACTTTATGATATGTCTTGGTCGGGTGAGGTCGAGTGCCGAGTTCACGGTTTATACATGCCATGCAAGGTCACAGGGATGATGGTGTTGACCGCCGCCCTGGCCAGCTCAGTCAGTTTCATGGCATCCAGCACCAGCAGGAAGCCTGGTCTCTCTGCACCCGGCTTCACCACGATACTCAGCAGCACACCTGACAGAGGGGGTCGAATATGGGTGTTTTTCACCACAGACATCGTCAATGTTAGGTAAAGTCAACTTAATATTAAGGGAGTTTGATTTAGGTTTAAAGTTGCATTACACAGGTTTCCTATTAGAGCATAGTATGTACTAAAAGTCAGGATATTATGGCCTCTAATGCTTCAGTTTGAATCATCCTTTATTTAAACTGTCTGGCAAATCCCCAGGGGTTTATGGAAGTAAAATACTATTGTGAATCACTCTAGTGCCCCTTTAAGTTGGAATGTGATCAGGTACAGATTAAGCTGAGGGTTAAATTAACCCACAGGTGAACTAAACTACATTTTAACTCAAGGCCCTTCTTTAAAACAGGGTCTCAAGATTATGTATTAATGCAGGTGTAATTCTGAGCAGTGTGAAATTGTGTGAATCTATATGCTAAGACGTGAGAATGTGTGGTGCGTCCTACCGTCGTCCTCCTCTGTAGCGCCAGGTGTGGGAACAAACAGCGGCTCTGACGGGTAACACTCTTCCTCCTGCCACACCCAGGTCTCTTTGGTCTGCACGTTCAGCTTGACTATCTACAGCAATTCAACAACAAACAACCAACAGCTGGAATTAACAGCAGCATTTACGCTGTCGCATGTGTGCTGGGGAGCCAGTTAACTTGTCTTTGTCTTCTTCTGTGGATGATAAAAGCGCTCCTACCCTGTCAGGGATGAAGTGGTTGAGTCCCAGACCGTAGGTGAAGGAATACTTCTTCCCACGACACTGAGAGTAATTAATCTGTGGAAACTCAAAGGCTGAGAGAGAAGAGAGAGAGAGAGGCATCAATACAATGAAAAAAGAGAGAAAGACATACATATAAGAATATAAAGAATCATATACTGGTGATATAGTAAACCGTGTGCCCTTCAGAAAGTATTCAGATCCCTTCGCTTTTTGCACATTTTACTGTGTTGTGGATCTAATTTTAAATGGATAAAATGCCCATCAATCTATACTAACATCCATTCATTCATTAGCCATACAGTTGATCCTTTTAGGGGGGGGGGGGCTGCAGCCAATCCCAGCTGACATTGAGCGAGGGCTGAGTACACCCTGGACAAGTGGCCAGTCTGTCACAGGGTTGCCTGCACCCCCGGAGGTTGCAGCTGGGTGTACAGTATGTGTCTCACCCTGTCTTGGTCCAGAAAGGAGGACTTCAGGTTCGAGCCAGATGGTGCCATCACTGTGAAGAACAGCAGTAGCTGTAGTGTAGGACAGAGATACCAGATTCTTCCCCTGCTCCTCCTGCATACACACAATAAGACACGAATACACACTCTTGTATGTTATATGGGAGTCTAAAAAAAGTGCAGTTTATTCAAAAAGTTTAAAAAAAAATCATCCAGGATGAGCTGATCTACAACCAAAGAGATGCCTGTGGTTTTCCAACAGAGCCGTCACAATCAGCCGATTGGTACTAAATCACATGGAACTAATTTGTGAAGCTTTAGCCTCAGTCTTTTAGTATTTTATTATTCTGCACCTAGCAGTTTGAGACCAGAAAAATATTGACTGGCATCTTTTATTTTTTTACTCTTCAAATGCCCTTGTTAGAGCATTATCTGTAGGAACTATTAATACAGCCGTTTTATGTTTGTTAATTTGTCATTTAGATGACGAGTGATGGAAAACAAAGAATAAGCCCTAAAATTATTTATTAAGGACTTGAAGTTACTGACATTTATATCAATTCATGTGAGCTGGACCCATGTATGCAATACTGAACAGGCCGAGGGGCCAGAGCCTCTGTATGAAGAGACTTGATATGTGAAACTTGGTGTGTGTGTGTGTGTGTGTGTGTGTGTGTGTGTGTATGTGTGGGTGTGTGTGTGTGTGTGTGTGTGTGCGTGTGTGTGTACTCACTCTGTGTATATCCAGCGGCAGTACGTATCGTCTGACCTCGGGTTGAGGAGCTTTCATCGCTGCTTTCTTCACCTCCTCCCACTCCTCCCTCAGGTTGGCCAGGTACAGGTAGTTATACACAAAGTCATGACTGCAGTGAGAGAGAGAGAGATCAGGATGATTAAACACACACACACACACACACACACACACACACACACAAACAAAGGGACATACTCGCCCTTTCCACGTGCAGAGGTCGACAACAATGAATCCCTCGTCCTCGTAGGCGTTGATGTGGTGGAAGAGGTTGAAAGCTGATGTTCTGAACTTGTGGCTGCTCAAATAACCTGCGGGGTCTTTAGTGGCCAGGTGGAACCATGTCTACACACACAGACACATACACGGCACATGAAACAGAAATGTAAAGGCAGTCATATGTAATCAGTCAGACACATACATAAGTCTAGTTTTATGTTTCTTCCTTTGTCTTTGTGGTCACTATGTGTCTCTTTGTGCTGATCTGGTCTCAGTTTGTGGTTTTTCTTTTGTTTCTTTTTGACCCCCGCACCACCGCTGTGTCCCCGCCCCCTGCCTACCCCCATGCTGTCGTTGGATTCAAAGCAGTCCATGTATGTGGCTCCTGTGATGCTCCAAGCCGACAGGAACTTGAGCAGGTTGATCTTCACCGGCTGCTCCACAAACACAAAGTAGTTGTCTGTCATACCGAAACTACAGACAGACAAGCAGGCATAGAGACAGAAACATAAACATAAACATAGAAAAAGAAACCGTTTATATCGATGTAAAGCGTCACAGCTGGTTCGGTGTATTCGTGAGATAACTCGGTACCTGTGCATGTAGGAGGGCTTTAACCTCTCACTGCTGGGCAGCTGAGCCACGACCTGTGATTTCTCTAAGGGATCTGAGTTGTCTGGAAGCACATGGAGATACACAGAGTCACAGACCCTTGTGTGGTTCAGTCAAGTATTTCAAATCTAAAACAATCTCATGTGAAGTCCATTTAGTCTCTGTTCTGGAGCTTTTGATGGTATCACACAATCTTCATCAGCAGACTGGTCTTTATGTCTCTTATTAGCCTCTTCCTTTTCATCTATTCACCTATCAATTTTTCTTTCTTTTTTCATTTTCTTTTCTTTCTCTTCTTCCTTTCTTTATTGTCTCTTCTTTTTTTTATCTATTATTTTTTCTTTTATTCTTTCTTTTCTTCTGTGCTTCTTTCTCTGAATTTCTATTTTTCCCCTCTTTATACACACAGCACTCTGTTTTTGCTCCTCTTTGTCTCTATATTTCTCCTTCTCTTTTTATTTCATTTTTCATCTGTTTTTTTCTTTCTGTTTCCCTTTTTCTGTCTTTTTTATCAGTTATCCATCCATCCATTAGGACTTCTGTAACTTTGTGATGTCACAACAAAGCAGTCACCACTCTCCCACCGTGCCCCGAGCACCGCCCACCTGGACCCACCATCCAACCTTACAGGATTTGGTTCTCTGAGTGTTCACCTGAAATCTGCTATACTTTTATTAGATTGCTCAGAGAGCACTCAGCCAATCAGAAGAGAGGCTCAGAGCCTCCTCTCTTCTGACTGGCTCACCGACCTGTTGTTGGAGCTTAAGAGAGCCTGAGAGAGGAGATGTAAAACTACACGAGATGGTTTTTGGTTCTTCTTATGGATCAAACCTTCAAATGAAACACGGTAAATATCACTCTCTGACATTCAGTCAGTCACAGTGTGACTTCTGAGCCAAACTCACCTTTCTGAGCGGGTGGTATCTTGACAATGTTATAAGCCAGACTCATGTTCTTGCCAAAACAGTTACCGATGTTATAGATGGTACCATCTGTGTCAGTGTGGGGGTGGGCAGTCACCCCATTCACTGAGAGGTACTTGCACAGGTCCACCTGGTGTTAACACACAAAGACAAGATAGAGAATGACTGGGAGAAAGAATCAGTCTGGTGAAGAGCCTCACTCATAATGTATCAATGATGTATAAACCATCTTTAAATGGCATCATCATTTGTTATTATAAAGATAAAGACATAAATATTACTGGAAACAAGGTATATTTTAGTGGTCTCATATATATTATATATGAACTGAAATGTTAATATGTAATATGAGTTAAAATGTTGCATGTAACACATTTGTTTGCCAATTTTATTCATAATTTTCACCATTTAGAAAAAAATATTTTAAAAAA